GCAAAATAAAGGGACATTCTTCTGAATCAATCTCAATAACATCCTTATTTTATTAACAATCTTACTTTATTTAAAGCATGTCTTATATTGCTACAGCTCAGACTTAAACTCTTCAACTATTTGGAATGACATCTCCATCATTTTAGCCTCTCAGACAAATGCCTGATCTGATAAAAGAAAAACTATAATTTGAAAACAATTAATTTCAACAGGGCAAAGGGACAATAAAAAGATGCCACAAGTTTCAGTAGGAAAAAAAAAATCCCATACCATTTCCTCATTTCATTTGGTCATTTGCATACATTGTATACCACTTTTGTGTAGGGTTAGATCAAATGCATATCTACACTAAAGACAAAAAAAAAAGCCTAAAAAAATGAGTAAAACTTTGTTGTAATGTTTGCCAGTGATATGAAATTACCCTGCATGCAGATTTAATTCTGACAACGAACAGAAGGCTTGCATTATGCTGAATGATTAGACAATAAAACAGGAGATTAAATTAAATGCTGATGCAAGCAAAGTAATATATACAGAGGAAAACAACTCTAATTTTGCATACACACAATGATGGTCTAAATAATTTCTGTAAAAATAGTTTAGACTCATTATTCAAGGTCTTCTAAACATTTTAGACCTCAGCAGCAGTTAAAAAGCTAAATGTGATGTTAGGAATTATAATGGAAGTAGCCAAAACAAGGAAATCTCATTATGCCACCGTTCTCAACTTCAACATCAGTTGCAGTTCTGGTCAGCTGGTTCATTGCATAAAAAACGCTGTAGAAAAGCTATTTGGAACAGTGAGGAATGATGTTTTGAGCAACAGGAAACAACTGTCACTCGCAGAGAGACTAAATAGACTGTGACTTCACCTAGAGAAAGAGCCTAGTAGGAGGAGGGGATGACAGTCCTAAATGTCATAGTAAAAATGCTTCGCAAATTCACTTCGTGTAACCCAGGATTTATATTATTATCTCATAAAATTATCAAGTAACATTTTTAAACATCACCTGCCAAAAAGCAAGTCCTTTTTCATACCTTTCCTCCAGGCTGAATAGACCCAGCTCTCTCAGCCTTTCCTCATAGGGCAGATGTTCCATTCCTCTAATAATCTTTGTGGTTGTGTGCTGGACTCTTTCCAGTACTTCCTTATCCTTTATGAACTGGAGAGCCCAGAACTGGACACCAGGACAGAACAGAGGGGGATAACCTAACTGGCTTCATTCTTCTTAATGCACCCCAGGTGCATTGCATATTTTTTGGCTAAAAATTCTGCAGAAAAGAATACTTACTATAAATAGATATAATTGCATACAGTACATTACCAGTCAACTAGTGTCACTAAGACTTGTTTAAAAGCAGATCAGTTCAGAGAAAAAGAGGGAATTTCTGGTGACACGGGCGACAGCTATTCATATTAGGAAGTCATTAGGCAACTGACAGGATACAGGTATTTTCCCACCTGTCTACTCATGTAAAGGTCAGACGGCAAAATTAGCATAGAAACATTAAATAGGACTCAGGATACTACAGCTATTAAAATCCTACTCAGAGTAGTCTCCAAAGATTTGCATTAAAACCTTAGGCAAGCCAGTGTTTGGGAACACATATTGGGTAATTTATTTTAGAACTCTTCACAGGAGCTTTAGGCACTTTAACAAAAAGGGCAGTTCTGCTAAGCAAGGATCTGAATGACCTTCTGCTCTCTACTAGCTAGAGAGTCAACCCTGGCTCTGAATTGAGAGCAACCTTAAAAATTAGGCATTTTGGTCTGCTGCTTCAAATCCAGCAGAATGAATCCAGGCCCTGAGGCTTAGAGAACCAGTAAGGAGGAGACAGGAAAAATAGCCATGTTCTTACAGCTAAGTGTTACATTTTTGTACCGCTTTTCAAAACACAGTTTTGCAAACTGTGCCTGCTTCACTTTCATGCTAGTTACCTTCTTAGTCACTGTTTAAAAATACAGCTCTTCAAGGACAACATAGGAGGGCCAAATCCTGACCTATTAAACTCATTATAAAGACCTTAAAAGTATTGATGATGTTAAAAGTAGGTTTATTTATACCAGTTAAGATCTGATGTTATCCATTGAAACAATGTTATAAATTTTTAAAATAAATCTCAGATCTTATGTTGAATATAATTTCAGAAAAAAATGTCATAGTCACCCTTATTCCATAAAAAACTCCTCCTTCCCTCCTGCTGCAA